ACACACACACATTAATTCTACATATAAAATTTGTGTAATTGTCACACCTTCATAGTTGCCACTACAATGTTTTTGTCTGATTGTGCACTTTGACGTACCTTTTGACTTTTTTGGAGACAACGATTTTTCTACTGTTTTTGCGAGTCTGCGAACGAATATTTTACATTTTGATTTTTTACGCCTCTTCGATGTTTTTTCAGGACAATGATTAAGCAGATTGACTAGAAATACTTTTTTCTAGGTGGCGATATCTGCGATTTTGCGCTGTCTGACATTTTTGAATATTTTTGTGATTTTTTATAATACGAAACAATTCGCGCTCTACTCGTGATACATTAATTCTCGATGTAGAGTGCGAAACACAATCAATGCCTTCCCACACGTGTCCCAATGTCTCCCTACGCACTAACAATTACTAATTATCACAGATTTGTTCGCTAAATATGCCTATCAATATGAAATATCGATGCATATAAAATTCTCAAGCTTTCTGTTCTACTTGCGAATATCAGAATTTGTAACATTCCTATCATTTTCCTAAAAATTTTATGTAACTTTCTAAATTTCAAAACTAATGTAAAATTGTGCTATAACGAAAGTTTTTCAACTATTTGCCAATTCTATTTGCCAATTCAATTGCGAACAGATCCAGTGAACGCATCACGTCCGAGTTTTAGTGATTAATCGGTATTCACCAATGAACTAATCGATTTTTCTGTTCTCGATCTTTGTCCGAACCACAGGCAAGACTGCTTCAGCACACAATACTTCACGAGCTGCATCCAAGCGCTGCTGCTTGAGGACGAGAAGGAAAGGTTGCAGGAGATGGTCGAGTACCTAGGTCGCAAGAAGTAAACGGGACATGGTCGGAGCAACGACGCGCCGCACCACGAAGGAGACACATCACTCGGCACACACATCCTCACACACCTATGCATGCATACAAGTACACGCATACACATACAAACATACACATGCAAAGACCAAGAAGTAGATCGATGAAGTAGAACGCGGTCTGGAAAAAGGACTACAAGAAGAACGAAGAGGTGGACTTCGGCGCGATGATCGTCGTTGTTCCGCGAATTTCGAGGAGTCTCGAGTCTTACGAGATTTAATTCGATACCGTTCTTCATCTGAAGAGGGATGAGTCAGACGTCGCGTTGGAGAACAGTGAACACGCCGAGCGAATCGCGCTCCTATCGATCTCCGGATTCCGAAGAAATCATTAAGATCTTTGTCAGAGTCCGGATAGTTTCACCTGGAGATGAGATAAGCGATCTGGAGAACGGTACGATAGTACTTACGACGTCTACGAAGTTCAGGAAGAACTCCACGGCCACACCCGGAATATGCGATCAATGCGATTCATCTGCCAACTCGAGACGTGGTTTCGGTGTCCTCGGTAATATAGCGAGGGATATCGCGAACGTCGTTCTGTTCTAACATCAGCGAGTACTCGCGGTGCGACGAGAGTACGATTGAGAGAATTCGCAGGGAAACCGGGAAGAGAGACGGCGATCCTCTTCGCGGTGAGTCGCGTTGTTGCTTGACACGACGAAGAACGAAGTTACACAATAATATACTAAATAACGAGCCCCACGGGGAGCGAAATGATACGATTGAGCCATACAAGTAAACACACACACTCACACAGCAAATCTATACGAATTCTAGTCGATAAAATATCTGCGCTCTCGCGCACCACGCCACTCGTTTTTTTTTTTATTCGATTAATCATTAATTAATTATTAATCGCCATCATTCATCACTATGTAGTAATAACGGTAATCTATATTATTATTATTATTATTATTATTATTATTATTATTATATTATTATAGTAA